GGATAATTAAATAAATGATAAATTATTAATGTAAATAATAAATTAATGTATGTAAATTCGGTGTCTCCTACTTGATCGGAGCGTACGCAAATAAAAAGGCGACCCACCCTTTAAGGAAATGTTCCTCTTTTTGCAATCACAACTCGAAAATTATAAATCAGAGAAGTAACTAGGCAGGATTCTGATACTTAATTTGGAATGAACTTTGCAAGTCATTCCGTAGCGTTTAATTTTTTTCATATCTTGAATCTCTTACTATCATTAAATAAGGAAGAAATTGCAGGTTTAAATGTATAGTTCTCACAATGTAATAAACGACAGTACTTGCAACCTGTGCAGTGCAGTCGCACGAAGAGGCATGGTTAGGGACAGAAAAAGTTTGGATTTAGAAGTACGATTGACATTACCAAATGGCAAAGTTAAAGGCAGATAGATAGATTTTTTCTCTGTTATTTACACTAATAAGCGGGAGGGCAAGAACGCCTTTCTAATTGTTATTTGAAATTAAATTTTACAATTTACTTTACTTTTGCTTTTAATTTACTTTCTACAGCATTCAGTACGTGAAACCGTCAATAATAATATAATAATGATAATAAAAATGGTATCACACAACTAAAAGTATATACTACTTCGTAAATTTCGATAAATTAATTACTGAAAATATTAAGCATATCAATGGCAGCGTTGGACCTAATAGTTTTAAGTTGCATTTCAACATTTGAAAGAACGCGAATTACATTGCTATTTTCACCACACAAACGAATGGAATATTTCAGAAAAGAATTCTCCCCCGTTATTACAATATTTCAATAATTTTCGCAAATTAAAAAATTTATTTAATACGTTTTAATAATAAATGAAGCGATTTTCACTCATATAATCCCTTTGTACATTACTATCTTTCATTTCAGAACCACTGCATAACTTTTCTAAGACATAAATAGCTTCCGTTAATATATGTTCCCATACATTATATTTATTTTTTTTATATTTTTGTCTTTAATAAATTAATGATAGATAGATAAAAAAATTGATACTGCTTAATTTATAAGCAGCGTAAAAACTGGAAATCTGAGGTCATTAATTTCCGAGACATTAATAGTTTTTCAAGATGCAAATAAAGCAGATAACAATAATCATAAATATTAATGCTCCTAAAATATATCCGCATTTCCTAACTGATTTTTGCTTTTTGATCCACCACAAACCTATTTTCATTAAATGAAGTTTTGCGCATTTCTCTGCAAAGTACGCAAAACTTGTTTCATACAACTTTATTTTAACTAAACGTTATACTTGTTTAGGAAAGTATAAAACAAGTATTTATGTGTACTACTTTTAAAATCCATGTGACAGAGTGTGAGTTCTCATCTTGAAATATACGTTGTGTCGATGAGCTTAACTACAAATTATTAAACATTTCTGGCAAAATGCCAAAAATTAAAAACAAAATTTTTTAAACACGTCCTGCGCTCTATCTGCAGGATCTATCAATCAATCAATCGACACGACAATCGAAAATCAATCGACTTGAATGGAGCTCACCAACATGTAAAAAGCCGTTCTATTAATATGCAAGATATGAGAAAGAAGTTTGAAGACATTATGAAAGAAGCAGAGTTTTGAATATACAATTCTTGTATATTCACAAAAATACAAATATACAATTTATATACAAATTTTATATAAAATTTTGTGTATAAAATAAATGGGACATAGAAACTAAATTTGAAAAATAGAAGAAAATAAAAACAAGAAAATATTGATGAGTTATGTGAGGATAACAGGCTTGAAAATTCCGAAATGTCTTTTAAAGTAACAGTTTTTTATGCTGCTCTCGACATTTTAAATACTCAGTTAAAATACAGAATGACTGGAATAACAAAAATCGCAATGATGTTTTCATTTTTGGAACTTAAATTTCCGTATTTGTCATTGTTAACAAATACGGAAATTATTAATAACTAGCGGGCTGAAGCCCGCTTTTAATTGTTGACGTGTATAAGAGTTCCTATGTTAAATATCACCGTTATGCCATAGTTGGACCGAACTACCAGGGTTCAGCGGTTTTGCGCGGGTTCCCCCTGCTTTATTCCCGTGCGCATCCAGAAGATACTGCATACACGTCACACATGCGTAAAATCACGAAAACACCTAAGCAGGCAGCCCGCTCGCCGGGATTCGAACTTTGGACCGAACTACCTGTGTTCAGCGGATTTGCGCGGTCTGCGCCCGCTTTATTCACTTGTGCATCCAGAAGATACTGCATTCCCAATACACATGCGGAAAATCACTGAAACACATATAGAGTCAGCCTGTTGGCCGGGATTCAAAAGTTGGACCGAACTACCAGCGTTTAACGGTTTTGACCGGGTTACGCCTGCTTTATTCACGTATTCATCCAGAAGATACTCCGCACACAATACACATGCGTAAAATCACGAAAACACCCATGCAGCCAACCCGCTAGCCGGTATTCGTAAGTTGGACCGAATAACCAGCGTTCAACGGTTTTTCGCGGGATTCATCCGCTTTATTCACCTATGCATCCAGAAGATACTGCATACACGGTACACATACGTAAAATCACCCAAACACCCATGGACCCAGTCTGTTTTCCGGGATTCGAAAGTTGGACCGAACTACCAGCGTTAAACGGTTTTGCGCGAGCTGCACCCGCTTTATTCACGTATGCATCCAGAAGATACTGCAAACATCATACACATGCGGAAAATCAAGAAAACACGCATTCAGCCAGCCCGTTAGCCGGGATTTGAACGTTGGACCGAATTACCAGTGTTCAGCGGTATAAGCGGGCTGTGCCCGCTTTATTCACATATGCATCCACAACATACTTCATAAACGTTACACATGCGGAAAATCACGAATATTTGTCATTGTTAACAAATACGGAAATTATTAATAATGTTTCAAAAATACAGAAAAAAATATAAAGAAGACTTTGCTAATGTACTGGAAGTACAACTTTTATTATTTATAAATACTTTCAGAACAGATATCCAAAATTTGAAATCCGTTAAGGATTTAGCTAAATTAGCAATGGTAAAATACTATGACATGACAAGCAGTTAATCGGGAGTGCAATTAACTTATATTGTATTTATCATTCATTATCTGTAACCAAAGCCACGAGCGAGAGGTCATTTTCAATAATAAAAACATATTTAAGAAACACTATGATACAAGATCGGTTGTTAAACCTATCACTATTGAGCGTTGAAGTTGACATGGCTGTGAAAATGGACGTCCAGGTATTGATAAATAATTTTGCGGAAATGAAGGTTAGGAGACGCAAATTTTAATAAAAAAAGATTTTTGTCTTTATGATGAATTTCGGTCACCAGTGTTATAATTACACTTATTGAGGGGGGGGGAATTAGAGAAGAACAGCAGTACGGGCTGAGGGAAAATTAAAAAGAAACAGGAAAAATCTTTAGCATTCATGTTTTTTTTATAAAAATGTATTCAAGTAGTTAAGTGTACCAAAAGGATTTTTAAAAGGACAGCAAAAATATTACATATTTTCTACTAAAATTGTATATTCAAATAGTTTTCTTTATGAAGTTTATGATAAATATGTTTTATATTTAACAAATGTACTTGTATATTATTGCATAAATTATGTTCGTAAGTTGAGTAAAATCACAGAGTACTATCTATTGATGTAATATTTTTTCTGTACGTTTATCAATTATCTTGTCTGTCAATATCAATTATCTATCACTCACACGCACGCACACAAAAAGTCTTAAATTACAGAATTAAAATCATCTGACGTCAAATACCCAGACTAAAGCAAATTTGCATTTCACCAGTTAGCAAAGGGGAAATATTTTCCTTTTTATTCTTTCTTCATATTACATAACTTTCAAATGGTTCCCTGAGAACGTGCTTTTATTTTTTAACAATTAATCCAGATGTGATAAAAATCATGAAAACATTGGCTCCAGGAATCCTTGATTTTTTTTTTTTTTTTTTTTTTACTTTTCACGTTTTTTTTCTTTAGTTTAATTTTTATTTTTAAGCACATTAAATTTATTGGTTTAGGGACCCAGGAAATTATTTTGCATACGGGACCAAGAATTCTAGTTACACCACTGTCTATAATGTATATATGCGTAGCTAGTATATGTGTAATGAGATGAACTACCAGTGCTCACACACTTTACCGCCAGGCCGCTGCTGAACCCTTCATTAATTAATGACATAATCACACAAAGCCACGCATTTACACACAACTCGTGAACATAACAAGCAACCAGCGCATTAGCGGGATTCGAACTTCGGACAGAACTACCAGTGCTCACACACTTTACCGCCAGGCCGCTGCTGAAATCTTCATTAATTAATTACATAATCACACAAAGCCACGCATTTACACACAACTCGTGAACATAACAACCAACCCAATTATTCTACACTTATACTTATATAATAATTCTATAATTATTCACATTATTTAAGTGATATGATTCATTAGTGTAATTGTACTGGCTCGTATACACACGAGGAAAACCACGAAATTTCCAATGCAGCCAGGGCAATATGAAAGACAAAAAAATGTAACAAATAACCAACAATTAAAGGTTACCAATAATAGTGTACAACAGAGATGTATACCTCTCGCCAACTGAAAACAATTGTTAAATTCAATGGAAATGAATTTTCAAAATCAACAGACATGCGGTCTTTAAATTTTGTACATCCGAACTGTCTTCTCTCTTAAGCAGCAATATGACAAAACATTTAAAAGAAGAGCATATCTTTAGAATTTCCGATAGACAGTCTTGCGCCGAACAGTGTTGCCATTGCTCGCTTAGAAATCGTCGAGTTTCTTAATCAAAAACACATAAATGCTTTACAAAATGTTAAATAGTTAATAAAACAAATTACAAATTTGAGCTTTCAGATGCCCATATTCGGGTGGTGACGTACATATTCAAAATTTCATAGCTGTAGGTACCGTTGTTTTTATCACAGTATCTGCATAAATGTTATGTACGTTAAACATACGTATATTTATGCTGATTCTTTATTATTAAATATCTTTAAATATAACACACAGCGATAATATTCGGTAGAAACAGTTCAACGCAAAATGCGAAAACGAAATTAATAGCCCTTCTGGGCTAACGCGCTTTGGGATAAAAACGCAAAAATAGAACATAACAGCTTTCATTGTCAGTGCTTTAAAAAAAAAAAAAAAAAAAAAAAAAAAATCGATAGGCCTTATTTAATTTAATAAAATCGAAAAGTTGAGCAAGTTGCATATTTTTGAGAGGATAAATATGCCACGAAACCTTCAAAATCATTTTTTAGTTCATCACGCACGCATATCTGCACACAAAAATAACAATACCTATTATTCTTCTGCATCTCTGTTTAAAAATGTTTTAAAAAAACATATGTACCGAAAAACATTTATTTGTAAAGTAAAATATTTTTTTTTCGAAAATATTTTAAATAAATTTAAAAAAGAAGATTTTTCGCGATCATATTTTGCCGCGGTTAAGCCCGTGCAGCTGTCTGTCTGTCTGTCAGGTACTGAAAAAAATCAGTACCTCGGTACTTACGTGAAAACGTGGTTTGGACTTTGCCAAAGCTAAGTTTACTTTTAATCTATTTTCATCCATTACATTTTTTAATATTATTTTTCACTTGAAATTTGTTTTAATACTTTGTTTTCATAGATACATATCATTACTATTATTTTTATTTTCCTTTTTTTTTTTTTTTTTTTTTTTTTGTAACAGTACTTTCTAGTTTGAACTTTTCACTTCTCTATCTTCCTATAATGAACTAATATTGTTTAATTAAACTTATAATTACTTTTCATCTTTATTAAACTTTTTTATTTCTGATAGTTTTGACTTTTGCATAATTGCCAAGTTTCTGAAATTTCTAACAATAAATTTCATTAAACTATTTCTGTCACTGTACTGACTTTTTTGAATATGGCTTCTTTGCATGAAAAACTGAAATATTTCTGTTTAATTACTGACATGCATTTAATTAATACAGAGGCAGCTGCACTCGAGTTTGCCACCGATGCTGGACTTCTTCCCAGAGAGGATGAGGCACCACCACCTTGCCCCAAGTGCCAGGCACCGATGAGAAGCAACAAGAGAAAGGAATCAAAGCTGGGATGGCGTTGGGTCTGCAGCCTGAGAAATCGCAACAACTGCTCTGGCATGATTAACCCCATTGAAAACACTTTTTTCGAAGGTACAAAAATCCCAATAAGGGAAGCTTTAGTCATAACTGTGTACTTTGTTCTAGATCACAGTTTCAGCTACATAAATCAGCAGCTAAAGCTATGGAGGGAAAAGCAAAAATTACCAGTAATTGCAAATGAGACTATTGTTGACTTTTTATCATATTGTCGTGAGGTATGCGAAATTTTTGCCTCTCATCATAGCAGAATGTTAGGTGGTAAAGGAAAATCTATATTAATTGATGAAACATTTTTGACCCGCCGCAAGTACAACCGCGGCAGGGTAACCAAAAATATGACCATCGTAGTTTTAGGCATCTACTGTCGAGAAGACAAAGAAGGATTATTTTTCAAGGTTAAAGGAAAAAGCAAAAGGCATTTGTGGCCTTACATTAAACGTCATGTTCACCCAGAAACCACCTTCATATACACTGACTCTGCTCCACAATATAAAAGGATAGAAAATTTATTTCCGGCAGCAACACATAAAACTACCAATCACAAGAAAGGTAAATATGTGTCTTTTTTTTTTTAATGAGTGACATTTTTTTTTCATCCTTAACATTCATTAATCCTTTATTTACAGGCGTATTCGTAGATCCCGATGATAAACAGAACACTATAAATGATCTTGAGGGTGAAAACAAACTTTTTAAGAGGTCTATAAAGAGCAAGAGAACAGATGATATTTGCACGCAGTACATGGCTGTACATTATTACAGGCGGTTCCGCTTGAAGCCCTTTACTTATGATGGAGAAAGACTTGCTCAGTTTCTACAGGACATTAAAGCTGTGTATCCAGGCCATGGAAAAGTCGGCCTTGAACTTAAAATGTTGGACGAACCAACATCAGAAAGCGAAGGAATTGAGGACCTGATGCCTCCAAAGAAATCAGCCCGACAAGATGATGATATACCATTCATTCAGGAAGATGATGATAAATGGGGTAAAAGCAACAAATATAACTTTATTTTTGACATAATTTATTTATTTACATATATATATACATACAAAAATTGCATTTAAATATTAAATTACATACCATTATAATCTATGTGCTTATTTTTCAGAGTAAGGGAACACAGACCAAGTTTTAAAACTGGAATAAATGATAAGAAAAGCATACAAGTAAATTGTTTGTTCAGATGGTCCACAAATTTTGATTTAATACCTTTTTGTTTTTCACTACATGAAATTGTTATTTTTTATTTCCTTTTAGAATTCAACCAAAAAACAGAGCCCAGAAAACAAAAGGATGGAAATGTTGCGAAAATGTTGCATATCTTTTACAGAAAGAGGTAAATGTGTATTTCAGTTATTCTCAACTTTTATTTTGACGTGAGAGCTATTCTTTATATATTTTGTTATTCCTTCATTAAAATAAACTTTCTTTCACAGCTGCAGATCCAAAATGTCATGAAATACTATGACAGAGGTAAGACAAAATTTTAACCATTCACAGCTTATGTTTCAAATTAGTGCTTCACTTTATTTTAATACTACTCCTTCAGTAAAAGCAACTGTAAAATTTATTTAGTTATTATTAGTATAAGTTTACCTACTTATTTTTCAGTAAAAAAAACTTTATTGCAAATTAGGTAATCCAAAAAAATAAATAAAAGAAAGAAGAAAACTAATTTTGACAGATAAATTGACAAACATAGAGGTGAGTTGATTAATTTAAAGGTTTCCAGCCTACTTCTTACCAGAAAACATTTTATTGTTAAGGATAATTTATCACCCCTTTCAGGTAAAGAATATTGCAGAAATGAGAAATGAATCATGGAAAGAAATGAATCTTCAGTCAGAAAATATACAGGTGAATTCATTACTTTTAATGTTTCCAGCCTGTTTATTTTAATTATGTATTTTCATACTACGTTTATTATTTTAATTTTACCGTTTATTTATTATTTTAAATATAAGGATTCAATCTTACATTATTAACTTCTTAAACTTGCCACCCTTTTGTGGTAATTGTGTATTTTTGTACTATGTTCAATTATTATTTTCTAGTTAAAAAGAGTATGTAGTTAACAAAAGATTAAAACTAAACAACAGAAAGAACACTTTTAGAAAAAATATTAAAACATTTAATAAAAGTGTTTATATATACGCTAACTTATGTTTTCATTATCGTAACCTTGTTTAGTTATCTTGTATTATGAATATGCATAATATGGATATTTTGTTTAGGGACTTCAAAAATAACATTTTGCTGCCACTTAGACGAGGGAAGAAGCAGATGGAGAAATCAACTCGGATGACAAACCCAGTACCTGGGGGTATAGCCAGGTTTTTCTTTCAAGAAACACATCCGAGTTGAAACGACTGATGCGGGCCACACCTGAAAGCGAAGGAACTGAGCAACTGCTGCCACCGCAGGAAATCTCGACGATCATGAAATTTAAAATCTTGTTTACTTATCTTGTATTTTGAATATGCATAATATGGATATTTTGTTTAGGGACTTCAAAAATAACATTTTGCTGCCACTTAGACGAGGGAAGAAGCAGATGGAGAAATCAACTCGGATGACAAACCCAGTACCTGGGGGTATAGCCAGGTTTTTCTTTCAAGAAACACATCCGAGTTGAAACGACTGATGCGGGCCACACCTGAAAGCGAAGGAACTGAGCAACTGCTGCCACCACAGGAAATCTCGACGATCATGAAATTTAAAATCTTGTTTATTTATCTTGTATTCTGAACATATATAACATGGATATTTTCTCTACAAAAAACTCCAAATAGTGAACTGCCAAGTAATACTGCTGAAAACTGCAAAATGTGGTGCTGAATGGTAAGTAATATAAAATATATGTGTACACATTAAAATTAGAGGATTATGGCTCCTGGCGAAACCTCGTAAAAAAAAAACGCATCAGGATTCCTACCTCCTAGTCTTACACGTACTAGCTTAAAAATTGGGATTATTTGTAACTATTTTGTTTCACTAATATCATTAATCACATTTCTTACTGTTTCTATTTTTTTTTATCAAATTTAGATTTAATTAAAAATCACTTTAACCTGCATGTAACGTCATGTAATGTGAAAATAGTGCCTATTTTTTAAATGAAATTATATGATAATACCCGCATAAATATTTTTTATAAATAATTGATTTAAATATAATTATAAAAACTCTAATTTACAAAATTTGGTAATGCTTCAATTAAAATGAATAGTCAAAAAGCAGAAGAAAAGATTTTTCTTTTTTTAAGTACGTGTAAGTCTTAAGGTGATGTGGAAATGGAATCATTTCTAATTTCAAAATGCAAAATGCTTGTAAAAATTGTTCTTTTTCAGATCTGATGAACAGGCCTCGATCTATAAGAGTGGAGTTCAGTGAAACGAAGTATTGGATTTTAACAAGGAATGAATCTATAACAGTTTTTCTTGTGAAAAAATGAAATTTTATAAGTTATCAGCAGAGTCATAGTTACTGTTTTCAGCGCCCAGGGAAAACTGAAGATTTTGTGCCCCTCCCGACTACTGGCCAAAAATGGAAAACATTCAACTCTAAAAATTCGTAACATCATTTTGGCTTCCCTTGGATGATGTGCCCACGGACATATGCCCCCTTTCTAGCCCTGGTTATCATATACACAGTTTCTTGTGAACTTGTTGACTGTGAGAACCTGGATACATATTTTCTTGCAAAACTGTGAGAAACTAGATAAAAATTTTCTTGTGAAAAGATGAAACTGTGAGAACCTGGATAAAAATATTCTTGTGAAAAGGTGAAACTGTGAGAACCTGGATAAAAATTTTCTTGTGAAAAAGTGAAATTTTTATATAAATATAAATAACATAATTTAAGAAGACAAAGATTGTACAAGCAATGTCATCTAGGGGTAAGTACCTTCATTTTGCAATATATGTTTACATTGATAAATTAAAAAATATGAAATTCTAGCATATTGAAACATAAGTTAAGAAATATTTGTTTAAATTTATTAATTAAAAAAGGTGAAATTCTTACATATTGAAACAAAAGTTAAGAAATATATGTTTAAATTGATTAATTAAAAGAGTTGAAATTCTTGCATATTGAAAAATAAGTTAAGAAATGTATGTTTAAATTGATTAATTAAAAAAAAGTTGAAATTCTAACACAGGGAAAAATAGAAAATATATGTTCAAATTGATTAATTAATAAAAAAAAATGAGTGCTATATACTGAAAAATAAGTTTCTTAAAAAGAACTTAGCATATATTACAAATACCTTAATAAATGTTCTAATTTTTCATTTCTCATCCATATATATCATGTTTAACTATCATACACTTACCTGCATAACATAATTAATTTAAATATAAATTCATTATTAATTTAAATGCCAAATAATATAATGCCGAAATTACATGCAAGTCAAATTTTTAGGTTGGAAGCTTTCTTTTAAATCGATTGTTTACAGTTTGAGCGTAAGTACTTCTTCGCCCTATAGCGTTTCATGCAAAACATTTCACTCGTTAAAGTACACGTTAATTAAAATTTCTTGTTCTATTACTTTAGACTGAATTACAATTAGTAAGTTATCATATCATGCTTAGTAATATAACATTAACTATGTTGTACAACATTGAAGAAATAGGGAATGTCAGGCGTCATCATGTCAACATGAACAAGGGTAAGTTCAATTTTTCCTTTTGGCAGTTCAGAATTGTTTTCCCTGTCCACTTCCCTCGGATAGCGCATTTCTGAAATCCAAGATGGCGGCCAAAAACTCGCCAAATTCAGCCAAGAGCCGGGTATCCGAAATGAGCCTTTTCTATATATTTCATTTGTCGTGAGTTTTTTATCGTCAAATTTTTAAACATTGTTATTCTTTTTTATTATGTAATTCGTTTTTGTAGGGCCATTCTAAAAATTATTTTTTTCTTTATAAAGTAAAGACATGTTTCTTTTCTTTTTATCTACTGAACACTTCTTCCAACAATCTACTAGCCGAATTACACTTATGCTAGAAATTTTATCTAACAAAACTGCTTAATCATGACAAATATTCACTGCAAAATTTGGGAAAAAGTGCACAATACCATACTCCTTACGCGTTTTTCAAAATAACACATACACATAAACCATGTACACGCCGACTTATTTTTACTTAAAAAAACATCCCAGAATTGCACAAAAATGGCATTGCGCACACTCTTCACTATATCCATGTACATTGCTTTTTTCTCATAAATTAGAAAAATTTCACGAAAATACATGACAATTTACTCAATCTTTAAACCCGGTAAAAAGAACATATATGAAATTATCTGATCGCGAAAAAGTATTTACCCTTTCCAAATATGAACATTTCCACATATAAAATAAATAAAATATCCAAACACTTTTACCTCTAAATCATCTATTACATTATACACGTCACCAACGAATTCATACCGCAAGCATTACAAATACTTAGTATCAAATATTTAAATTATTTCCATGCACGTTTACTTCAACTTAAACGTATACCAAATTCCTACAAACATAAAATTCACAAAATAACTATCATTTAATTAAAAATATCACTAAACCATGTACACGCCGACTTATTTTTACTTAAAAAAACATCCCAGAATTGCACAAAAATGGCATTGCGCACACTCTTCACTATATCCATATACACTGCTTTTTTCTCATAAATTACAAAAATTTCACGAAAATACATGACAATTTTCTCAATCTTTAAACCCGGTAAAAAGAACATATATGAAATTACCTGATCGCGAAAAAGTATTTACCCCTTCCAAATATGAACATTTCCACATATAAAATAAATAAAATATCCAAAAACTTTTACCTCTAAATCATCTATTACATTATACACGTCATCAACGAATTCATACCGCAACCATTACAAATACTTAGTGTCAGATATTTAAATTATTTCCATGCACGTTTACTTCAACTAAAACGTATACCAAATTCCTATAAACATAAAATTCACAAAATAACTATCATTTAATTAAAAATATAATTAAATTCAAAAAACACTACTTAAAATATAAATGAGCACATACATTAAATTAATGAATACATAAATACCCATTTCGAATTCACTTTAGTTACGGCCATGGGATCCAAAAATTCACGAACACTGTTTCACACAACACAGAACAAAGCCAAATAAAATTTCCAGATTTTCCCGATTTCCCCCTTTTCCGATTAAGAACCGAATTCGTCCATATAACATGACAATCCCAGACTCTCATCCTCACAAATAAGCTAATCGGAACGGTACTGCTAATTTCAAAGTCCAGGTATAACCTTTACCCCAAAATTCGCCAAAACAGTACCATATTGTAAAGATCACCCGAATCTTTATTTTTGCGAGCGTTAGCTTCTTCCAACAGTTTAATTTTCAGCATTTCTGGAGAAGGCAGTTCATCACGAGATTCGATGGCTATTCGAAAGCTTTCATAAGAGTCCGGTATGCTATATAAAAGCAATATTGTAAGCAAATCATCCGCAATGTTTATTTCCATTTCTTTAAGTTTGTCCACAAGAATGAAAAAATCATTTAGATGAACAGTCATTTGTTTAGAATCACTCATTTTTGTAAAAAGCAATTTTTTTAGAATTGTGGCCTTTCTAGCTGGTCCCTTCGATTCGTAAATAGAATGCAATTTACTCCACAGTTCGTGAGATGTTACACACTTCTTTACTTGTGGAAGTTCACTAGATAAGATAGATAGGATTATATCCGCTCGTGCGTTTTGGTCAGTAGTTTTCCATTTAGCAAGTTTTTCATCATCACCAGATTCTGGTTTCGAAATTTTCCCAGTTACGTAGTCCCAATGATCATTTTTAATCAGTATTGCTTCCATTTGCAACTTCCACGTGTCAAAGTTGTCCTTGTTTAGCTTTTCAATTGACACTGTATTAGTCGTCGCCATTTTCATTTCAGTCGACGCAGCTTGGCTTGCCGAAAGAATTTAACAATGGTAGTTGAACTGCACAGTTAAGCGCTATCTGGGCCCATAACCTATGAAGAATTAAATGAACGTCTTCCACTGGGAAACTTTGCAATTCTCGCTTACATGCAATACTCACCATTGATTTTGGCTAACTACCTAGAAAAGTATTACGCAGCAGAGAACTTGCTTATCACGCGCATGCGCTAGGGGAATCGACGGCGGTTGCCAACAGGAAAATAACGAATTTTTTAATTTGTTAGTTGTAAAGCATATTGATATACACCATACAGAAAGATTCAGTCACTGATTTATAAATTTCTGGGAAGGAAAGGTTGCAGATTAACAAATCGGAATGATACAGGCATGAGGCGTCTGAAGCACCACAAGTTTGTCTAAACCTAGAAGATCAAGCTTGGTTTTTTTGTTCCTTGGTTTGTAAGACAACCGAATTTAATATGTCTTGATTACTTTTTTCTGGATTACAACAAGGATTGGAAAACAAAGGACATCCCCATTGAAAGTTATGTGGACCTTATATCTAGCATTTCTGCAACTGCTTTGGAAGATTGAGATATGCAAGGGATTTTCCAAAATGTACGTGATTCCATGCGCCTACGATATAAAGCGCATGTTTCAGCTCATGGTTGCACTTTTGAACATCTTTTGTAATAACAGTACATTTCGAAAATGTAAGTAATTTGTTCTCTTACATGCCGTTCTATAATCTTTCATTCCTTTTCAAGAAAGCGTCTAAAACCCTCCATTGCTATCTGAGTCCAATTCGCCTTTGTGTAACCTTCTACCAGAAATTGGTACAGGCTTAGCTGAACAATTCTATATGTGTTCGCAGTCTCATAGTTTTTTTTTTTTTTTTTTTTTTTTTAGTTCAACACTACAGGTTGAAGACTCGGATGCTTTTTACTTCTTCTGTCATTGTTTTCATGGTTTCAAGGCCCAGGTTTCAAGTTGTCAATTGCGGGTCGTTTTTTATGTGAACCGTTCTTTTTGCAAGGTACCATTTTAGTTCATGTGACAGAATGCTTATGTTTGAATCTTTGCATTTTGCGTAACAATAAGCTGTTAAATGAAAACTATCAGTTATATTAACTGTTTGTTTACCGTAATACATAATAAGCGTTTTTAAGAAAAAGTTATTAATTTCAAAGTAAATACTATGTAAGGATTATGTTAATTTTATTAACAGTTAAATTTTAAGTTAAAGTTCCTTTCCTGTCAAATTCTTAACTTCAACTTACTACTTCCGGCCAGAACGTAGTTTGGAATCTTTCTGAATACTTAATGAGGAGGAGCGGTATTTAAACCGCAAAGTCTACTTACAGAGAGAATCAGTTTCTGATCTACGCCCGTCTACCTTTTGGCTACTCTCTCTCTCAAAGCTGTTATTACGTTCGACCGTACTCAGGCCCTTGATAAGCTTCGTAGTCAAATAAAGTTAAGGGGCCAACTCGATTAGAATCTTGATAGCTTCGGCTATAGTTCTTTAGTTAATCTTTAGTTTAATTTTGTCAAGTGTCGACTTTGATTGTACACTCCAAGACGAGTTTGTTAAATCT